TAATCCTGTTCCCGTAATGGCCAAGTCTCTGCACCATAAAGCCGCACTGCTGCAACAAATACGCGATCCTTCACACAACCGAATGTCGCGATGACACCACCAATGTCTCGAGTTGGCAAATACCAATCGAGCCTTCTGTATACGAGCTGACAATTCATCTGTGATGCATCCATCGGGTGAGATTTAGCTGCCCAGATAGATATCTGCTCCAGTTGGGGTGAGTTTGGGGTCGGATCAACCCAATCCTGTAGCAACATTTTACAATTTGAAGGTGCAAAACACATACCGAACATCTCTACACCAGCACTCAAACTATCGAGAAAAGTTTGCAATTTACCTAGATCTTCACACAGTACCCCTGGATAGCAGACATTCTACTACCTGGGAGCAAAGGGATACCGCTATCCTCGCATGAGGGTCTTCGGTTGCCCGGTAATTTGAAAATAGTGTCTATCTTTCACTAAATCGTCTTAAACTATACACTGAACATATCACACAAAACCAGTTATCCATGAGCATCGGAGTATTATAAAAAATGGGAGCAACATTTTAAGTGCTCAAACACTTGCATGACCCAATACTATATTCATACCAGTAATAACTGGTAGGGATCAAAGTGATAGTCTATTTTCGTTTCAATTGAAGAGCATCGTGTACTTTTTCCCAAGGGGCAAAATGCATCTCCTAGGCCCAAGCAGTTTGGTCATTTTGACGTCACCAGTTTGTCCGTGTGGCATGACTTTTCACGACTATTTCAAACACAGTGTCCTACTAGATTGTCATTCANTGTCATTCAATCAAACACCTTTCCTGGAGGCGGTAACAGTGTGTTGAACGAAATCCACTGTTCCACAAATCAATAAACTGCTTTCGTGGGCTGATACTACATCCGTTTACGTGTCTTGGGTGCTGCAGTTTTTTTTTTATTAAACACGAAGTAATTTACAGCAAAAGGAGNGAGTCAATCCCATAATCAGTGATATACTGTAAGGGTATGTGGGGTGGGGTGGGGGACATTCAAGTAAGAATCAATTTTTTAATCTTGCTTTTGAAAAGGGTACGGTTCTAAGGGTTTGGAAAGAGTGTTACACAATTTCGCAATCCTCGGGGAAAAAAAAGATTGAAAGATAGAAGTTCGACATCTGGTGAACAGAAACCCGATAAGAGTGAGTGAGTGATGCATGAGAGAAGGTCAATGGAAAGTGAACCGCTGAAGCGACTTCGAAAGAACAGAAACCACAATAGTAACGATAGGAAAAGAGTTAACGAAGCAACTGCCCGACGATGGGAAAGCGTCTGCAGGTCGGAAGTTAAAGACGGTTCGGCGATCAGCCGGACAGCCTTACGTTGAACGCGGTCGAGGCGAGAAAGAGTTGAATACGAAGCTCCGCTCCATACGTGATTGCAGTATTCGAGCATCGGGCAGACTTGAGCTTTGCACAAAAGGAGAAGGTGCTTGAATGTAAGGAAACGCTTTGCGCGCAACGCGAGAGGCAAGTGTGGAAATAAAAGGGGACCAACAGAGAGAAGAATTTATGGATAAGCCCAGGAGAAAAAGAGAATTTGTGGAACGAAGGGGTAGAAAATCAAAAATCAATGAAGAGAATAGGAGACACGTTTAAGAAAGACGTTTTGAAAGCATTGAAACACACGTGGCTGGTAGAACTCCATACCGAGATTAGTCCGAGATCGGAGGCAAGAGAAGCACTAATGACATTACGATTGTGATCGATGTTGGTGTTAGCGTGACGCAATGTGGGGTAAGAAATAGAACAATGGATAGTAGCATCATCGGCAAAGCAGTGGATGGGATTAGATGTTTGGGATAAAAGATCGTTGATAAATAAAAGAAAAGGTGGGCGGAAGTTTCGAACCTTGGGAATCACCGGCGTTCACAAGAAATGGTCGAGATGGAACCAGATCCACTCAGACGGAGATGTTTCACCTGCGTAGGAAACGTCGGAGCCAGGATACTAGAGACGGCTGGAATCCGATCATGGGTAATTTCGACAGTAAGTCTTCATGCCA